CCGCCTGTCCTCCGTCCGTCGGGGGTGAGTGTGCCCTTGGCACGGACGTCCTTGAGGACAGGCAGGAGGAGTTCCAGTGTCTGGCCGCCGCTTCACCTCGTCTCGCGTCTGTACTGCTAGCCCCTGAGGGAGACCCGGATGCACCAGACATCCCGACTCCGCGCTCTTACGCGGAGGCGATAGAGGGTCCCTACTCCTCTCAGTGGCAGGCAGCTATGGATGCAGAGATGGCTTCCTGGAAGTCCACAGGCACCTACGTTGACGCTGTTCCCCCTCCTGGGGCGAACATCGTCAGTGGCATGTGGATTTTCAGGGTGAAGCGGCCGCCGGGTTCTCCGCCTGTCTTCAAGGCGCGTTACGTGGCTCGTGGCTTCAGTCAGCGGCAGGGGGTTGACTACTTTCAGACCTTCTCCCCCACCCCGAAGATGACCACTCTTCGGGTTCTGCTGCACGTTGCTGCTCACCGTGACTACGAGCTCCACTCTCTCGACTTCAGCACAGCTTTCTTGCAGGGCAGCCTGCACGAGGAGATCTGGCTGCGTCGCCCACCTGGCTTCACTGGGTCTTTCCCTCCTGGTACCCAGTGGAGTCTCCGGCGTCCAGTCTACGGTCTCCGCCAGGCGCCACGTGAGTGGCACGACACACTGAGGACTACGCTCGCGGCACTTGGGTTTGCTCCTTCCACTACCGATCCGTCGCTGTTTCTGCGCACCGACACCTCTCTGCCGCCGTTCTACATCCTCGTGTACGTCGACGACTTGGTCTTTGCCACAGCTGACACTGCTGGACTCGCCTACGTGAAGTCCGAGCTGCTGAAGAGACACACGTGCACTGACCTGGGTGAACTGCGCAGCTACCTTGGCTTGCAGATCACCCGGGACAGAGCACGCCGCACCATTACCCTGACTCAGTCACACATGGTGCAGCAGGTCCTTCAGCGCTTCGGCTTCACGTACTCCTCGCCTCAGGCCACTCCTCTGCCTACTCGCCACTCGCTCTCAGCTCTGCCTTCGGATGAGTCCGTAGAGTCGAGTGGCCCGTACCCAGAGCTTGTTGGCTGCCTCATGTACCTGATGACCTGCACACAACCTGACCTCGCATACCCTCTTAGCATTCTCGCACGCTTTGTTGCTCCTGGGAGACACCGACGAGAGCACATGGCTGCAGCGAAGAGGGTGTTGCGCTACTTGTGCAGTACGTCGGGCATGGGGCTAGTGCTTGGAGGGCGCAGTCCAGTGGTCCTCACTGGGCACGCAGACGCTTCTTGGGCTGACGACCAGGCTACGCAGCGGTCGTCACAGGGTTACACCTTCAGCCTTGGTTCCGGTTCTGTCTCGTGGCGGGCTACCCGCTCGTCTTCTGTTCTCGGCTCCAGTTGTGAGGCTGAGATCTACGCTGGGGCTATGGCTGCACAGGAGTTACGCTGACTCACCTACCTGCTGACCGACCTTGGAGAGCAGCCTCGTTCTCCTCCAGTCCTGTACGTAGACAACAAGGCCATGCTGGCCTTGTGTCGAGAGCAGCGACTGGAGCACAGAACGAAGCACATTGCTCTTCGCTACTTTCTTGCTCGTGAGCTACAGCAGCGTGGACAGCTGCGACTTGCGTACGTGGCCTCTGAGGCCAACACTGCTGATGTCTTCACCAAGGCACTTGCGCCTTGTGATCATCAGCGTTGCTGCACGCAGTTGGGTCTTGTGCCTGTCTTGCCTCACTTGCTCTCCTCTTGACCTTGCTTGTACCTTCGCATATATATACTCTTGCTCTTGTATATCTCTATATATGATCTTGCATGTGAACTGGCCTTGTGGCCTTTGAACTTGTGCTCGGAATGCGTGGTGACTTTGTGATCCACCCTGAGCTTTGCTTTGCTTTGCTTGACTGGTCTTGTGACCCCTTGTTCTCCCCCACTTTGCCTATGGGGGTGTGTTAGAACATATAGCTTACTTGTTTGTGTAGGCTATAGTGGGGTATCCCATAGGGGGTACAACACATTAGGGTTTCCTATTTGTATTCACTTCACTTCATAGTCATTCATTCTCGTTCTTTGTTTTCACACATACACCGGGAATTGAACCCGAGATCGCTCTGATACCATGTCAGAATCCCAACCACTAGACCATTGGGATAAAAGGGCTTGTTTCAGTAGCGGGTCAGTGCGCCCGTAACCCCCCAGGGCGAACGCGCGTGTAACCCTCCCCAGGATCAATCGGGCATCCACAGTGCAGATCTACTGACACGTCGTACCGAAATTACGAGCCCGCTACTGTGGACCATTCCAAATCAGCCACATGATTACCCCAGTGACAGCTCACCTACTGTTGCCGACGGACTGGTACATCAGCCCTTCATTCCACGTCAGCTTGCTTCGCCTATACATCCCAACCACAAGCCAACTGCCTCGCCACCGCCCGCCATCCATGACTCGCCCTGCATCGGACCCGATCATCGAGCCCGAAAAAATCATGAGCCATCGGATTCGACATCCCACGGGAATCAGGAGGATTGAATTCCTCGTTCGCTGGAAGGATCGCACGCCAACTGAGGATACCTGGGTGCCCCTGGCCAACATCGAAAACCACCCTGCCCTGCGAGTGTAAGGAATTTTCTCGAAAACCATCGGGGCTTCCGCGATATACACGCACTCGCGTAGCGGAGGGGGCTGCTTGAGGGGGGGGGGGGGGGTAGTGTAAGGAATTTTCTCGATATTCCTTAGCGCACCCTGCAACATCGCGTACAGCAGCAGCCGCTGTTCGCTCGTTACTGCTAACAGGGCTTCGCCGACTTCGCGCGCACTGTTTCACCAAACCTCGCACTGCTGGCATGGCCGTATCGGCCTACGCTTCGGGACTAGCCCGAGCCTCGCTTCCAGCATAGCATTAGCTAGCTCGCACGCACCGCGTTACCGTTTGCATGTTTCGCGTATAAATGTTCGCTCATGCCTTCGCTCACATTTTGTACTCGTTTGACACCTTAGTGCAATTCTCGCTACTTCGATTCATTGCACCCGTAACATCGTTACTGTTTCGCACGAATTTCAAATTTCGAAACTGAAAAAAAGTGTCACAATTGTGGTACGGACGCTTCATCGTCTGAACCACATTCCCATCCGTCTGGACGGAGCTTTGTTGGACGTTTTAGGTGCTCCGTCCGGACATTTGACTAAAATGGAAAAAGTTACGCGCCCTAAGACCTAAAAGATTGCACTCACTGGACGAATGTAAGAAAAGGCTTGTTTGTTTGTGCTCTTCAGCGTTGTTCGACTTCGACTTCGTTCGCAACCAGAAAGTGAGGTAACCTGCCCTAATCCCGCTGCCTCGCGACTCACAATTCACAGCACTCCCTGGCTCACAACCCTTCGCAAAGCCCTGTTACGACGTGAGCACGGCAATTTCCGGCAGGGGCTGTCAGCATCTCAACTCCTTCCCTTGCTTTCCACGCGTTTTTGCGAAGCACACGAAGCACCACGTGGCTTCGCGAAGTGCAATGTCGATTCGCAAAGAACCACGCGGATTCGCGGACCTGCTGGGCGTGTCCCAGCCCGAGCTTTCTCTTGACGGTGCGAGATAGTTCTAGAACCACTGTCACAAGTCTCGCCACTCTTATAAATACCAATCTGATGGTGGAGGAGCCATTATTCAACCTACAATCGTCGACTACAAACAAACCAGCATACTATCAAATCAGCTTACGACGATCTCAAGACTTAGACAAAGCCTTATTTTTAAAATCGTATTAGCTTCGCCAGCACCTTATTGGACAGAGACGGTAATCAGAGAATGGCATTCGGTATGTCAGATTTGCTGTTCGATCGACAACAACCCCATGTTTTCGCACCTCCTTACGCGAGCCATTATCACTCCGAACCGTCACCTTGGAACTTTGCCTCCTCGCCCTCTCCGCTTTTTGGCGATCCCTTCCAATTCGACGATGGCTTTGACTCGCCAGCGGGGAACTTGGCGCAGAGGCGACGCAATGACACGCGGAATCATGAGACTGCGCGGAAGCAGCAAGCGCACGAGCTTAACGCGCGAAGGCAGACAGCGCGCGTGGGAAGCGCGCAGCAAGATGTGAATGGAACGAAGATTCGACAACCACGGAAGCAAGGACAAACAGTTATCCCTCAAATACCAGTCCAGCACCCAGCAAGCAATAGTAGAACGCGACCCGACGCGCCGGCAGCGTCGCCAATGGCGGGCGTCGCCCGCATTCCTGCTGCTAAAGTCGCTCCCGTATCGCTATTAACGGCTGACGATGCTGCTCGGAAGTTGCAAGCAGCATGGCGGGGCTATTCTGTGCGCCAAGGCAAGCCTCTCGAACTGGCTCGGTCCATAGCTGACGTTCGGAAACTGGTTAGCGAGATGGACGAGCAGCTTCGGGACAACGCTTTCGTGGCTTTGATGGCTTCCGACCCTATGGAGAAGCTTCGGGTGAGCGAGACGATCATGAGCTGGCTGCTTCGGTTGGACGAGGTGCAGTCCCCGAACCAGGACGTTCGGAACTTACGGCGAGACATGGCCAGGAAGCTGACGAAGCTGCTAGACAGGGTCGACATTCTCACAAGTACTCAACCACAGAAAGCTGAGGCTCCCCTTGATGTTGTCGTTGACACGGGTGCTACCACAATGGATGATTCAGGAGTGGATGTAGACTCACCATGCGCGAGCAAGGATTGCTGCCATTGTGGCAGTCAATGCAGCGACAATAGCTGTATGAGCTGTGAGAGCTCTGATGTTGCCACAAGCACGCATCAGGTGGGGAGAGTGGCGAAGAGGCAAAAGCAGAGGCACTGGAGGGATGCGTTGTGGCAGTGGAAGGAGAGAATGAGTAGAAAGCGAGGTGGTGCATGCTAGTACCTAGGACTGTAAATTTTGGTACCACATACCCCTGAATACTACAAGGATACATGGGGAAATTATGAAATGTACATTTTACTATCATAGTATCATGGTGTATATCAAACTACCCTAAACCCAAAGTCAAGAAACGCCAATACAGCACTACCGGGCATAGGGGCCTGTGAGCGTCTGACGGTGCGTGCCAGTGTCATCATACCCACCCATCCCTCCCTGCTCCACCTTAAAGTTTGACCAGTTTGACCCCGGTTGACTAGTTGAAACAGGCAAGTGGCTCCAGAGGGTTGACAAGCTGGCAACCCCTCCTGTGACTCCACTCTCAGGTGACCGGGCGGCAGAGGAATATGTTCCTGCTACTGCACTGCTGGTACGACTAGCAAATGACAGGGCAGCAGAACCGTAACCGCTGGCACGACTGGCAAGCGACACATCAGCAGCACCATAACCGCTGGTGCCACTTGGGACTGCCCTTACGGGGCCCACAGGAGTGCCTCCCCCAGGTAGCGCCCGGAGATGGTCCCTGATGCTGCGCAGCGCAGATACGACCTGCTCCATGTCGGGACGAAGCGAGGGGTGCTCTGCCGTGCACCACAGCGCCACCCGCAGGAACGTGCCGAACGTCTCCTCCAACCCCTCCACCATCTCCCCTGCACTCACTTCCCCTCCTGCCGCAGAAGAAACAACAGCAACGGCAGCAGCAGAAGCACTGTGAAAAGAAGCACCGTTCGACGCAGCAGCAGCAGCAGCAGCAGCAGTAGCAGCAGCAGCAGCAGCAGCAGCAGCAGCAGCAGCTGCAGTAGCAGCTGCAGTAGCCTGGAGAAGGTCAGAGAGTTTGGGATCGATGGCGGCGGGCAGGCCGTCTTGGCCGAAGGCGAGGTGCAGCACGACCTGGCTGAGCGGCACTCCCTGAATGACGGGCGGCTGCCCTGTGGCCAGCTGCAGCAGCACCACCCCGAAGCTGAACACGTCACTGCGCTCCGTCAGCACCTCCGACACCGCAAAGTGTGGGTCGATGTAGCCCTGAAGGTTGGGGGGGGGGGGCGGGGAAGGGACGAGGGATAAAGGGGGAAAGGGAGCAGAATGGGAAGCTGAACACGTCACTACTGCGCTCCGTCAGCACCTCTGACACAGGGTGAGGTTGTGGGGGGTTGAATGCGGGGGTTCACAACAGAGTGAGTGAGTTGAGTGCGCAAAGTGTGGGTCGATGTAGCCATGGGGGGAAGAGTGCAGGGGGGCGGGGGCGAAGGGAGTAACGAGGAGGAGATGTGCAGGCTGGTGAAGGAGATGTGCAGGCTGGTGAAGGAGATGGATAGAGGAAATACCAATGGCCATTCCTTGGAAAAAGCAAGCATAATATAAAAAATGCATGCAGCAACAGCAATTATTCTGGTCATTCCTTGGAACAAACACAGCACTATGTGTCCTCACCTTGCTGCCAATCATCTCACCTTGCTGCCAATCCTCTCACCTTGCTGCCAATCATCTCACCTTGCTGCCAATCATCTCACCTTGCTGCCAATCATCTCACCTTGCTGCCGATGATCTCCTCCTGCACCAGCTCGCCCCTTTCTGGCAGCGACTTGGAAATGCCAAAGTCCGCCACCTTGGCTTCCAGAGATGCTGTCAGCAGAATGTTGGCGGGCTGGGGGTGAGAGGAGAGAGAGAGAGAGAGAGAGAGAGAGAGAGAGAGAGAGAGAGAGAGAGAGAGAGAGAGAGAGAGAGAGAGAGAGAGAGAGAGAGAGGAGGCAAAAGAAGGAAGTTATCAGATTAGGAACGGCGAGGATGGTAGCATACTAAATCGAAAAAAAAAGAAAAGAAAAAACGATTGGATGGCAGCATACCTTGATAATATTTTTTTAGATATTGATAAAAATAGCCATAGCTGGTACTGTATGGCAGCGTACCTTGATATCGCGGTGGACGATGCTGGGTCTCATCTCTTTGTGCAAGTAGTGAAGCGCACTCGCCGCATCAAGTGCAATCCGCATTCTCTCCTTCCACGATAGAACGCGCCCTGTCTTACCTGCAACAAAATTCATCATAAACAGAATGATATATTAAAATGGAAGAAAAAATATATCTTTCCATGATAGAATGCGCCCTATCTTGTATTCAAGGTAGTGCCGAACAGAATTGAAAAACAAAGTACGGGACATTACATACAAATGCTTCCAACAAGGTTTAAGGCAAAATCAAGCGGTGTCAAACCTTGCACCACACACCCAACCGCACACAACCGCACTACATCCCATGCCAGCCCACCTTTGATCCAGGCGCGCCCCCCTCCACGAATTCAAACACCAGCAGCTGCTCGTCCTTCTCCACACAGAAGCAAACCCTTGCTCCACACACCCAACCGCACACAACCACACTGCATCCACTGTCAACCCACCCACCTTTGATCCAGGCGTCCAGAGCCCCCCCCTCCATGAATTCGAACACCAGCAGCTGCTCGTCCTTCTCCACACAGAAGCCGGTGAGCTTCACCAGGTTGCCGTGCGACACCGCCGTCAGCATCTCGATCTCGTTCTTGAAATCCACTCCTGCATGCCGATGCTTCTCCGTTGCTTTCTTTATCGCCACCGACTCGCCGTTGAGAATGCCATGGTACACCTGGATAAGAGCGAAGGAAACGGTTTGGTTTTTGAGGGGCCTAAAAAATTGTCTCATGACTCGCGGATTTTATACAGGGAGAATTGAGAATGCCATGGTACACTTGGAGATGAGCAAGGGAAACAAGTACACGAGAGAGAGAGATACATTCCTGAGAACGCCTCAGTACACATACCCATCATGTCCCAAGTATGAAATGCTTGGGGACAAGATAATAAAGAACGGCAAATGAGATGGACTGGAGAAGAGAGAAAATCGACTGGGAAAATGCGTTATTTGGCCTCAAATTCACCTTGCCATAACCTCCCATGCGCAACACCAGTGAGTCATCAAAGCCACTGGTTGCCTTCGCCAGAGAACTCTATTTCAAGATAAAATGTTACCCTCTCAGGAACACACGAAGACTGCCTTCCTCTCCCTCCCAGATTCACCTTGCGGTAACCGCCCGTGCCCAGCACGAGAGAGTCAACAAAGACATTAGTTGCCTCTGTCAGCTAACAAAAACTATCTGCACACCTCTCCCTTCCAACACTGTTCCACCCTCTCAAGAGCCACAAAAACTGCCTTCCTCTCCCTCCCTCCTCGCCTTCACCTTGCTGTAACCGCCCGTGCCCAGCACAAGCGAGTCATCAAAGCCGTTGGTTGCCTCCGCCAGCTGTCGCAGCGTTTCCACCTCTCATGCCCTTCCGGACCCTCTCATCTCATGCTGTCCTGTGCCCTCTCACACGGTCACACCTACCTTGCCGTAACCGCCCGTGCCCAGCACAAGCGAGTCATCAAAGCCGTTGGTTGCCTCCGCCAGCTGTCGCAGCGAATAGCGGCGGGCGTGCTGCAGGGTGATTCCCTCCAATGCCTCGTAGTCTGCACGGTTCCACCCTGAAAGAAGGAAAGAGGGAGTAGGTGGGCGGGATGAACGTGTGAGAGGGATGGTGAAGCGGGGGGTGGAGAAGAGGGGTCAATGAGGGGTCAATGAGGGGTCAATGAGGGGTCAATGAGCGGAAGCAGGGTGATGCCCTGCACTCCAAGGCCTCGTAGTCCACATGGCTCCACCCTGCGGTGAGAGGATGAATGGGTGCGAGGGGTGCGGGAGGGGTTTGGGAGGGGATTTGGAGGGGATTGGGAGGGGATTGGGAGGGGATTGGGAGGGGATTGTGAGGGGATTGTGAGGGGATCGGGAGGGGATTGGAGGAACATGGATGGGAGCTGATGAAAGGATCAACTGCCGGTTGGTGCAATTCCATGCCCGTAGTGCCAGAGCACCTGAAAGGGCAACAGGGCGAAATCTATGGTACGAGGAAAGAGGGGTGTGAGCCTGGGAGGACATGCTCCATGCCAAACTGTTCTCTACCACACATACCAATTTGTTGATTTGTTTTTTGTCTAGAAATATATGATTCTGTCAGCTTGGAAAACTATGTACCGCATGCCTATTATATTCAGCCGTCCATTGAAGGGTCACGGATGGTCTTGAAATTGCCAAAAATTGAGTTTTACACACTGAAATGTGTAACATACATCTGCAAAATGACATAGATAATGTAATTCAAATTGTTGTCATGCTCTGTATTCTGCAGCAATGACTCAAAAGTAGACCCCTCACATCTCTCCTCGCTCACACCACGCACACCTCTCCACGAGAGTGATGACAACAGAAGAGGAATCTGACTCAAAGAAAAAACCACTCACTTCGCTTCTCCCAGGGGCGCATGAGCAGAGCCACAATGAGGGCGATGGCAACAGCAGCGCAGCACACTGAGATGGCCACGATGGCGCCCGTGCTCAGCCCAGACGAGGGCTGCTGCTGTGATGGGGAGTTGTAGGCTGTTTATGGAAGGAGAGGAGGGAAGGGACACGCAGGTGAAGGAGAAGAGAGAAGGGACACGCAGGTGAAGGAGAAGAGAGAAGGGACAAGGGAGCACACTGAGATGGCAACGATAGCGGCGGTGCTCAGCCCAGACGAGCTCTGCTGCTGTGGTGAGGGGTTGTAGGCTGTATAGGGAAGGAGAGAGGGGAATGGACGCACAGGTGAAAGGGAACAAATAAGAGACGAGAGAGGATTGTACTGGTAGGACGAAGAGGAGAGAGGTTGGCACAAAAGCAGAAGCTGTCAGCTGGGAGAAACAAAGAGACAACTGCCAACAATCAGTAAAGGGACGGTCACCAATAGTGGAATAATGCAGCTCATGAACACACACAATCATGTCATCAGACGTCCCGACAAAAGCATGGAACCAGACTCACGCGCCGGGCCGTAAAATCCCGCGTTTCCAAACAGCCTAAAGTTGCCGAGAGCAACGCGCACAGCAAGGTCCCGCGAGGTGAGGGCGTTGCGGATAGCCTGCGGTGTGTCTAGTGGGACGGGACATACTCCAACCAATGCATCTCACGTGCTAGACAATATGGCAAACTCACGCGCGGGGCCGTAGAAGCCCGCAACTCGAAACAGCCCAAAGTTGCCGAGAGCAACGCGCACAGCAAGGTCCCTCGAGGTGAGCGCGTTGCGGATGGCCTGCGGTGTGTCTCGCGGGTACCAGCTGTCGTCGCCGCCCGGAGGGAAGAAGAGGAGGGTGATGATGAGCGTTGACTCGTGATCGGCGTGGTCCGAGGCGAAGGTGGAGGCGAGGGAGTAGAGAGAGGCGGGGCTGCTGATGGCCGAGATGAGGAGCTGGTGGGGAGTGATGGGAGGAGGGAGGAAAAGGAGGGAGAATGGATGAGAAATCAAGTCCTGGATTCGTGGGTGGTGCGCTCTGGGTATGTTGCAGGGGGGTCATCAGAAATTGTTGGCCCCTGGGGGGGAAGAAGAGGAGGGTGATGATGAGCATGGACTCATGATCGGCGTGGTCCGAGGCGAAGGTGGAGGCGAAGGTGGAGGCGAGCGAGGAGATAGAGGCGAGGCTGCTGATAGCAGAGATGAGGAGCTGGTGGGTGTGAGAGGGGAAGGGAGTGACAGGGACGGAAAGGGACCTCGGTGATGGACAGAAAGGGACAATCAGACAGAAAGGTGGAGGCGAAGGTGGAGGCGAGCGAGGAGATAGAGGCGGGGCTGCTGATAGCCGAGATGAGGAGCTGGTGGGTGTGAGAGGGGAAGGGAGTGACAGGGACGGAAAGGGACCTCGGTGATGGACAGAAAGGGACAATCAGACAGAAAGGTGGAGGCGAAGGTGGAGGCGAGCGAGGAGATAGAGGCGGGGCTGCTGATAGCCGAGATGAGGAGCTGGTGGGTGTGAGAGGGGAAGGGAGTGACAGGGACGGAAAGGGACCTCGGTGATGGACAGAAAGGGACAATCAGACAGAAAGGTGGAGGCGAAGGTGGAGGCGAGCGAGGAGATAGAGGCGGGGCTGCTGATAGCCGAGATGAGGAGCTGGTGGGTGTGAGAGGGGAAGGGAGTGACAGGGACGGAAAGGGACCTCGGTGATGGACAGAAAGGGACAATCAGACAGAAAGGTGGAGGCGAAGGTGGAGGCGAGCGAGGAGATAGAGGCGGGGCTGTTGATGGCAGAGATGAGGAGCTGGTGGGGAGTGATGGGAGGAGGGAGAAAAAGGCGAGAGAATGGATGACAAATCAAGTCCTAGATTCGTGGGTGGTGCGCTTTGGGGATGCCCTGGGGTGTGGTATGTTGCAGGGGAGTCATCAGCAATTGTTGCCCCCTGGGGGGGAAGAAGAGGAGGGTGATGATGAGCATGGACTCATGATCGGCGTGGTCTGAGGCGAAGGTGGAGGCGAGCGAGGAGAGAGAGGCGGGGCTGCTGATGGCCGAGATGAGGAGCTGGTGGTTGTGAGAGGGACAGACAGAAGGGAAGAGACGGTGACGAAGAGAAGTGACTGATGCATGTGTGGTGTGCTCCGCAGGAAAGGATGATGCGAGTGATCGATCAGTGGGAGGTCGGGCTGCTGATGATGGCTGTAGATAGTACCAAACTTAATCTCAGGTAACGCACTTAAGTAACGCACTTCTACTTGGTATCAAACATAAGCTTAAGTTACGCACTTATACTTCGCACTCGTCGTACCTCTCAACCGACCTGGCCAAAAAGATGGGTCGGATCGGGTAAGGTCGACGTGATCTGACTGTGCCATTCGAGATTACCCCCGTGTTGCTAATATTGAAGGCTCACCTGGGACCGGCTGATGTTGATCTGAGACTTGCTGGTGAGCTATGAGAAGATCCGCTCCTCCAGCTGCTGCAGCTCCGAGTAAACCCAGAGGGTAACTGCCCTCCGGCCCAAATACTCGTGTTCCCCTGGGATTTCCTAGACAACTCACTTGCATTTTGAGACGTCTCAAAACACTTCTTCAAATACTCGTGTTCCCCTGGGCCTGGGATTTCCTAGACAACTCACTTGCGACCGGCTGATGTTGATCTGCGCCTTGCTGGTGAGCTCCGAGAAGATCCGCTGCTCTAACTGCAGCTCAGATTAAACCCAGGAGTGAACTGTTGAAGTTGATCCAGGTGTAGTCTACATGACCCACCTGTGGCCTGCTGATGTTGATCTGCGACTTGCTGGCGAGCTCCGAGAAGATTCACTGCTCTAACTGCAGCTCAGATTAAACCCAGGAGTGAACTGTTGAAGTTGATCCAGGTGTAGTCTACATGACCCACCTGTGGCCTGCTGATGTTGATCTGCGACTTGCTGGCGAGCTCCGAGAAGATCCGCTGCTCTAACTGCAGCTCAGATTAAACCCAGGAGTGAACTGTTGAAGTTGATCCAGGTGTAGTCTACATGACCCACCTGTGGCCTGCTGATGTTGATCTGTGACTTGCTGGCGAGCTCCGAGAAGATCCGCTGCTCTAACTGCAGCTCAGATTAAACCCAGGAGTGAACTGTTGAAGTTGATCCAGGTGTAGTCTACATGACCCACCTGTGGCCTGCTGATGTTGATCTGCGACTTGCTGGCGAGCTCCGAGAAGATCCGCTGCTCTAACTGCGCCACCAGCGCCTCATGGTACACCACGAAATCCGATATAAACAGCTCCAGGTCGGCTCTTAACGGGGACACGCACACGCAGGAGAGCGACTCGTTATAGAGCGGTGCGCTAGGGCTGTAGAGGTCGTTCTCGCAGGCGAGGCCGTCACAGAAAGCAGGGGCGGTGTATTGGGTGAGGGGCGTCGGAGGGGAGCAGACTTGCGTGTAGTCTGGCTTGAATGGCTTGCACAGATCGTTGTTAAAAAGCCTGGGGGGGGGGAGGGGGGGGGGATGGGAGGTGGGGAAAAGAATGTGTCCTGGGTGAGGGTGGGTCTGGGGGAGCAGGATTGCAGCTAGTCTGTGTGAGGGGGGTCGGAGGGGAGCAGACTTGCGTGTAGCCTAGATTGAATGGCTTGCAGAGACCGTTGTTGAAAAGCCTGGAGGAATGGGAGGGCAAAGGAAGGCAGGGAGATGCAGGGGACATAGGGAGATGGGAAAGGCGAGGAGAAAGTAGAAGGGGAGGAGGAGGAAGGAGAGGAGGAGCAGGGAATAAGGGAGCAGGGAAACAAGGGGGTTGAAAAGAGAAGCTGGAAAAGAGAGAGTGCAAATCTGAGGGTGGAACAGAGGGGTTGCTATAACATCGATGGCAGCAGCAGCACTGTTGTGTTCAGGTACTGACTGTGAGGGTGACACACTGTTCAGGGGGGTGCTAGAAAGGCCACTCAGTAGAGTGAGGGAAGCACACTAGAAGGCGGCATACACACTCACTGCAGCGTGATGTTGGTTTCGGCGAGCATGGCGGGTGGCACGGAGGAGAGGGAGTTGTTAAAGAGGGAGAGCATGCCCAAAGACGCAGTCACTCACTGCAGCGTGATGTTGCTGCTCTTGGCAAGCAGGGCGGGCGGCAGGGAGGAGAGGGAGTTGTCAAAGAGGGAGAGCGACACGATGCTGGGCAGCGATGAGAGGTCTGGCAGGGGACCGCTGAGCTGGTTGCCGGATAGGAAGCTGGAACAAAGGGAGAAGGGAGAGGGGAGATGGATGGAAGGGATTGAGGGAGAAAATGAGGAAGTGAGGAAATAAGGGGGCACGGGGGTGTTTATGCCTTGCATACAGAGGGAGTGGGGGAGATGGTTGAGGTTGTTTGCGCTCTTACTCACATCTATTGCAAATTGGCGGCAGTAGTGATTTCTGAAAGGAAATGAGTTGACCTTTGAGTCGACTCAAATGTCAACTTAGCAGATCTTCCACTCACACGGATTGCAGCTTGGCAGCAGTAGTGATTTCTGGGGGTAAACTCGAGTCAAGAGCGTTGTTGGCCAGATTGCTGCATATGGAAGAGGGAGGGAAATAGGAGGGAGAGAGGAGGGGAGGGGGGCGGGTGGGCAAGAATAAGATGAGCTTCGCGTTGTTGGCCAGATTGCTGCCAATGGAAGAGGGAAAGAAATAGGAGGGAGAGAGCAAGGGAGGGGGGCGGGGGTTGGAGATCAAGATGAGCTTCGCGTTGTTGGCCAGACTTCTGCAGACGGATAGAGGGAGGAGAGAAAGAGGAGGGGTCATGACAAGGAGGGGTCATGACAAGGAGGGGTCATGACAAGGAGGGGTCATGACAAGGAGGGGTCATGACAAGGAGGGGTCATGACAAGGAGGGGTCATGACAAGGAGGGGTCATGACAAGGAGCAGGGCGAGGGGTTGGTTAAATTGGAAGTTATGCCTCAAACCAAATGCATGGCATGGGGTGCATGGCATGGGGTCATGGCATGGGGTGCATGGCATGGGGTCATGGCATGGGGTGCATGGCATGGGGTCATGGCATGGGGTGCATGGCATGGGGTCATGGCATGGGGTGCATGGCATGGGGTGCATGGCATGGGGTCATGGCATGGTGTACATGGCATGGGGTCATGGCATGGTGTGCATGGCATGGGGTCATGGCATGGTGTGCTGTGCAGGAGTGAGGCGGACATGAGGGAGGACATGTTGTGATATAGTTTCTTATTGCAGATTATTAACAATCAGCATGGTGCATGGGATGGCATGGGGGAAAGGCACACAAGTAAGAAGGGCACGAGTTGATAAACTGACAGGTTGACGAGGTTGGGGTGCTGCTCAAACAGAGTGCCAGGAATGGCGCCTGTGAAGCTGTTGCTGCTCAGGTCGCTGCGAGGGGGGAGGGGGAGCAGCGACAGGGAGGGGAAGGGGGGCAGGGAGGAGGGGTGGAGGGGGGTCAGGCAGGGGAAAGGGGACAGAGTACCCGGGATGGTGCCTGTGAAGCTGTTGCTGCTCAGGTCGCTGCGATGGGGGGGAAGGCGGGCAGTGGCACAAGGAGGAGAGGGGCGAGCGAGTGAAGGGGAGGGGTAAAGAGTGACGGGGAGCAGGGACAGAGATGGAACCTGTTGCTGCTCAGGTTATTGCGATGTGCGGCAGCGGAAGCAGGGACAGAGATGGAAAGGGGAGAGGGACGGGGAGAGGCAAATCGTGCCTGGGATGGGGAGAGGCAAATCGTGCCTGGGATGGGGAGAGGCAAATCGTGCCTGGGATGGGGAGAGGCAAATCGTGCCTGGGATGGGGAGAGGCAGATCGTGCCTGGGATGGGGCGTGAGATGAGAGCCTCTTGGTGCTCGATCTTTGACTACTTTTGAGACCACCCAATCAAAAGTCCACGCAGATCATGTGACCACATGGCATGCGACCATGGTGTTTGGCGTTCCACAGGACATGTCACCAACTCGACAATGCCCTCTCTGATTGGAACATGACTTTCTTTTTCCACTCCCCAGGATGGATGGATTGGTCGTGGCGGTGGTCGATGGATGGATGGAAGCATGATGGAGTATGGATGTATGCATTGCGAAACAGGGCTTACAGGTTGGAGAGGTTGAGAGAGACAGGGAAGGAGGAGAGAGGCTGTTCGGGTAGAGAGCAGTTGCTGACGAGGCTGTGTGGGGATGAGACACACATGCATGCATACACATGCACATACACATGCACCCCCACATACAAGCATGGAGACACACAGATTCGTGCCTACATGCACACATGCATCAATACGCACATGAATGTATGTGAGCATCAGAGCATCACATCCATACCATGCAATGCACATGCACATACACACATGAACATAGACACATGCATCACATGTACTAACAAAGCAGGCATTGAAATAAGAAAAGAAAAGCAGACACCTTGTGCTGTATGATGAGTGTGTTTGATGCAACTCTACTACGCTTAATGTATGCTTGATGAGCACACAAAGGAAATGGACGAATCAAGCAAGGAATTTGTCACCCAAACTAGAGCCCCGGTATCAGAATCCTTGAAGTAAATCGGAGGACAGAAACGTCGGATCTCTGGGTCGTAGAAAAGTGCTTGGGGTTGGCTCGAAGGGTTGGGACTCACAAGTCGGGTTGGGACTCACAAGTCGGATTAGGACTCACAAATCCTTGAGTTGGGGGAAGAACCAGGTGGAAGGGAAGGGTCCGGGTATCACGTTGTGGCTCCAGTAGCTGGTTGGTTGGTGAGGGGGGGCGGGGAGGGGGAGGGAAAGGACGGGAGAAAGGAGTCGGGGGAAGAACCAGGTGGAGGGGAGGGGGCTGGGTATAAAGTTGTGGTTACAGTAACTGGTTGATGAGGCAGGGGGAAGGGAGAAAAGAGCAGGGAGCAGAGAAGGGAGAGGTGGAGGGTAGAAGGGCGGGTAATGCGTTGTGGCTCTGTTGGAACTTGGATGATGGAATGGTACGAGACAAGCCGAAAGTCTGAGAGTTGGAAGCAACTGGTGAAAATTGGCAGACCAGTGGCAGAAAACGAGCACCATAAATAGGTGGTGCCGAAAATCGATCAGAATTATCGACGCTCGCTAAACACATACTTCCTTTTTTTTTTTACATTTTCAATGCAGCACATCACTCGGACTTTTGTTTCAGGTGTGTGTGTGTGTGTGTGTGTGTGTGTGTGTGTGTTTTGGTTTCCACACCACACACACACACATAGTGGAAAGTGAAGACACATAGTGGAACATTCATGCACCGCACACACACATACATGACAGTGAGGTCGGAGTTGTTGAAAGCGAGTGGAAAGTCATGGGTGAGACGATTGCTGTCCATCAGCCTGCCAAACAACACACGACAGCGACGGAAAATAACAGAATGTAAAAGCTACAAAACATGTACGAAACAGCCATTAGAATGTCATGGGTGAGACGGTTGCTCTCCATGAGCCTGCCACTCAACATACGACAGCAGCGGAAAAGAATCCACGATGGGTCAACGAAACAGCTCAGATGCACTACACAACATTTGTAAGACAGTTAACCTAGTATCGTGAACGAGAGACGGTTGCCATACATCAAACAAGGCTAAGAGGACATACATTGTGGTTGGAATTTGAAAAGTTAGCCTGTAAACTTGTAAATCAGGAAATGAAATCTGTTGATCGATATGATTGATAGGCATCGTGAACAACGAATGAGGTAAGTATTTGTGTGCCTCGTTGTGCACCCACGGCCTACTCACGGTAAACCCAAGGCCTACCGAGGGCCTTATGGGGTAAGTATTTGTACTAACCAGGAGTACAAGGCCTTGACTGCTACTCAAGATAGCCAAGGCGAGATTTACTCGTGGGATAAACAAAACAAGCGCTCGTTGTGATCCGACTCAATACTCGAGGAGTAAACGATTACCCGTTGGGTGCTGGCTGGGTCAACATTGCCCTTGGGAACGACGAAGGAGTGTCGGCACCCGATCACGACAACACCTTATGAGTCGACTCAAAAGTTGAAAACCGCACGATCAGGACAACACCTTATGAGTCGACTCAAAAGTTGAAAACGCACGACCAGGACAACACCTTATGAGTCGACTCAAAAGTTGAAAACCGCACGATCAGGACAACACCTTATGAGTCGACTCAAAAGTTGAAAACCGCACGATCAGGACAACACCTTATGAGTCGACTCAAAAGTTGAAAACCGCACGATCAGGACAACACCTTATGAGTCGACTCAAAAGTTGACAACGCACGACCAGGACAACACCTTATGAGTCGACTCAAAAGTTGAAAACCGCACGATCAGGACAACACCTTATGAGTCGACTCAAAAGTTGAAAACCGCACGATCAGGACAACACCTTATGAGTCGACTCAAAAGTTGAAAACCACACGATCAGGACAACACCTTATGAGTCGACTCAAAAGTTGAAAACCGCACGATCAGGACAACACCTTATGAGTCGACTCAAAAGTTGAAAACGCACGACCAGGACAACACCTTATGAGTCGACTCAAAAGTTGAAAACCGCACGATCAGGACAACACCTTATGAGTCGACTCAAAAGTTGAAAACCGCACGATCAGGACAACACCTTATGAGTCGACTCAAAAGTTGAAAACCGCACGATCAGGACAACACCTTATGAGTCGACTCAAAAGTTGACAACGCACGACCAGGACAACACCTTATGAGTCGACTCAAAAGTTGAAAACCGCACGATCAGGACAACACCTTATGAGTCGACTCAAAAGTTGAAAACCGCACGATCAGGACAACACCTTATGAGTCGACTCAAAAGTTGAAAACCACACGATCAGGACAACACCTTATGAGTCGACTCAAAAGTTGAAAACCGCACGATCAGGACAACACCTTATGAGTCGACTCAAAAGTCGAAAACCGCACGATCAGGACAACACCTTATGAGTCGACTCAAAAGTTGAAAACCGCACGATCAGGACAACACCTTATGAGTCGACTCAAAAGTTGAAAACCACACGATCAGGACAACACCTTATGAGTCGACTCAAAAGTTGAAAACCGCACGATCAGGACAACACCTTATGAGTCGACTCAAAAGTTGAAAACCGCACGATCAGGACAACACCTTATGAGTCGACTCAAAAGTTGAAAACGCACGACCAGGACAACACCTTATGAGTCGACTCAAAAGTTGAAAACCGCACGATCAGGACAACACCTTATGAGTCGACTCAAAAGTTGAAAACCGCACGATCAGGACAACACCTTATGAGTCGACTCAAAAGTTGAAAACGCACGACCAGGACAACACCTTATGAGTCGACTCAAAAGTTGAAAACCGCACGATCAGGACAACACCTTATGAGTCGACTCAAAAGTTGAAAACCGCACGATCAGGACAACACCTTATGAGTCGACTCAAAAGTCGAAAACCGCACGATCAGGACAACACCTTATGAGTCGACTCAAAAGTTGAAAACCGCACGATCAGGACAACACCTTATGAGTCGACTCAAAAGTTGAAAACCGCACGATCAGGACAACACCTTATGAGTCGACTCAAAAGTTGAAAACCGCACGATCAGGACAACACCTTATGAGTCGACTCAAAAGTTGAAAACCGCACGATCAGGACAACACCTTATGAGTCGACTCAAAAGTTGAAAACCACACGATCAGGACAACACCTTATGAGTCGACTCAAAAGTTGAAAACCGCACGATCAGGACAACACCTTATGAGTCGACTCAAAAGTTGAAAACCGCACGATCAGGACAACACCTTATGAGTCGACTCAAAAGTTGAAAACGCACGACCA